CAGTCTTACTATGTTGTACAGTTCTGAACTACCACAGAAAAAACCCAAAATCATAGCAGATGTACACATGAGAAATACGGAATTGTTCTTACATGTAGAGCTCTCACCCAATTAGAAATGCACATTCCAACATAAAAAGCAGTAACAGACAGAAAGCACTAGGCAAAGATCCTTCTCGGAACAGCTTTGCCCTTGCCATCGCAAAATCACTAAAATTCTAGGGATAAACTGTTTTCGCTTTAGCTACTCTATGCATCTTTAAAAGAAAAAGAAAAGCACCCTCAAATAAAACTGTTCGATACTTTGAGCAGCCGGCCTAGGCTATGAAAGAGCCATGCACTCTCCAAAGAAGAGGCCATTGGCTCTTCCATTAACTTTCAAAGCCCTGCAAGGACGCCTTTCTCCCTTCCTCTCTAAAGCGAGCCCAGAAGGGGAAACTGAAATACCCTTTCAAAAATATAAGCGTCAATATGACTGCTCGTGAGGTAGCCACTGGAGAAGTCCTACCCACGGGAGCGGGCGACGGTCGCTGGGCGAGTCTCCGCAGCCGCTGGGCGCCCGCACGTCCGGGCGCGAGTGCCTCGGTCCGGCGTCCCTGCCCGGCAGCCCCGCAGTCCTGGCGCCCCGGGTCCGGCTCCACTGCCCGCCCGGGCCCGCGCCGCCTTATATCTAACGGTCAATTCGTGCAATCTGTCGCTCTTCCCTCCCTCCCCCACATCTCCCCCCCCGTTGTTGGTGGTGTGTGTGTGTGTGTGTGTGTGTGTGTGTGTCTTCCAAGGAGCCCATCTACCAGTTGCTGTGTCCTCGCTCAATAATAATTACCTCGTCCAAGAATTAATTATAATAAATGTTTTCTTGATAAACTAACGAGATAATCCGAGGGGCACACGTCCCTTAATTACAGGCCGCCGTGCTCAGCTCCGCTTCTCGTCCGGGCTGATTAATTTTCTGCATGATGGAAAAGAAACAAAACTACGCGGACTGGCGACTGGCCTGTGGCTCGGAGGACCGCGAAGAGCAAGAGGAGAGAAAGAAAGAGGAGAGAAGTGGGCACCGCGGAACCAGCCGGCGCGGGCCTCCCTCTCCGGCGAACTCGAGTGAAAGTTTCTGGCCTCAGGGAATCAAACAACGCTGCCACCCGCAAGGGAGGGAGGAAGAAACGTGCCAAAAGGGTTGGCCTTGACTATTAATTATGGTGAGGAGAAAGCCCCAGTGTTAGCTCGGGGAGTGAGGAGAGGTCTGGTGTCTACCTTCCTTTGGGGGGAGGAGTTTCCTCTCCCAACTGGTCTCCTGTGCTAATAACTTTCGGTGCCTGGAAAAAGTCCCGAACTGAGCGGGAAAAATCCTGACACCCCCCCCCCCCCCCAGGCTCTCGGACGGAGGAGAGCATTTCCAGGAACGACTTCCCCACCCCCTCCCCAAGTCATCCACCGCTCCAGGGTCAACGCAGCTCGGCCTTCCGTCCCCGCATCCCACTTATGTCTGTGAAGGAGGAAAAAGCCAACTCGGGGGAGTTCTGACGAGGGACTTGATCTCAAAAAATGTCTTCTGAAATCGGACTGTGATTTCAAGAGCCACTTGAACACATCAACACGAAGACTTCTTTGGAGTTGGCGGCGTGACACGTCGCCGAGGCCGGCTGCCCGCGGAACCTGATGGTTCAACCTGCGTGGACCCAGAGCGGAGGCTGGGCCTCAGGGCACCCCTCCACCCCGGCCCGGCCCCTGCCCACGACACCCCGGTGTCCCCGAGCCTGGGAGGGGAGCGCGCGAGCGCGCACGCAGGCCCCGGCGCTGCCCCAGGTCCGGAACGGCGGAGGGCCGCCTTCCCCACTGTAAGGTTTCCGTCCCCGGCCCCGCCGCGGCCTCGGGCGGAGCCGGGGCCACTCACCAACACTTCTGCCAGCCCCAGGTGCGTGCGGAGGGCTGCACCGGGCGGGCCCGGAGCCGTTCCGGACAAAGTCACGTAGCAAAACAACTCTCCCGCTTTCGCTCGGTCTGGAGACCCTGGTCTGGGACCGAGACAACCGGGGATGGGGATGGGGGGTTTACTGCACTCCCAGGTTATTTTGAGGGGAGGAATGTGGCGATCAAAAAGGAAAAGGGGACCTGGAGGCCTTTGAAAGAGGCTGAGAACGGAGGGCGAATCTTGGTGAGCTGCTCTTGGCTCTAGGGAAAGGGGACGGGACAGAGGGAGCGGCGAGCGCGGGGCGGACGAGCTGCCGGCGCTCCACGCCTCCTAGGTTATTCGCTCGGGTTTCCTCTCACGTTCGTTAAGGGCGGGGGGGAGGGGGTGGCTCGAGCTGCGACCATCCTCACCCGCTGATCCGCGAGCAAGCCGGGCTTCGGGCACGCTGGCCCTAGAAGACGCCTATCTTATCATCATCATCATCATCATCATCATCATCATCCATCTAGCTACATCTGTATCTTTTTGTCTCGGACTCTGAAGATGTCCTTGAGATCAGTTCAAATAACCCAACCACATCTGAGGGCCAAAACGCAAACTAGCAGGGAGAAGCCCAGAATGGGCGTTGACATAAAACAAAACCAGAAACAGAACCCCTCCAAAACACTCCACATTACCCTCACAGGGTTTCCACGACGTTGGGCGGAAGCGGCGACCCCAGGAGCGCGCTGTCTCCCCTCCTCCCACTCCCGCCCTCACCTCCAGATCAGAAATTTTTCGCAATGCTCGTTACTACACCTAAAAAATTTACAAGGGAGAAAAACACGGCATGCTTCAGAAGAACTCCACGTTCGCAGAAGTGTGCATCAGTCGGTCTATTGGAGGTACCGGGGCGATGGTAGACAGGAGGACACATGGACATAGGCAGGCAAGACAGACGGACACTTACCTTACAGCCGCATGGGAAGTTAGAAAAAAAATTAAATTGTCCTTCAAAATTCCAAATAGCCAGCTATCCTAAAAGAAATCAAGAGTATTGAGTTAGAAATCTTGCTGTCTTCACCCCTCCGTAAAAAGTCAAACAACGAAAAAAAAATATTTTTAAGAATCGAAAATGAGGAAAGTAGCTCGAGTTGGAAACACGCGTGGGTCCCTCTGTGATACATACAAAGTAGACGTGGTGAGGGCTGCTCTAGCGATTTTTATTTTTAATAACAGTGGAGGCTGAGTTGGAGCTGAGGTCGGTCCCGCTCTCAGGGAGATTTGCTGAGAAAGCGCCTCTCTGGCAACTTTTTGACGCAAACTCTCCAACCAATGGCAGGGAGAGAATGATTGACACATCTAAGCCAGAGGGAAAATAATAAAAACACACAACAGGGGGAGGAAAACAGGCCGCTGCTGCACGGGGGGACGAGCAGGCAACAAATCCAGGCCTCCGACATTACCAGAATGTTCTTGAAAGACACTGGGCTCCGCTTAAAATATACATTATGGGCTGGAGCATGTGAACTAATTGTATAATTAAAATGATGGACAGGGAGGCCTCCCTTACCTTCCTCCTCCTCTTCTTCTTTTCGTCCTTTTCTTCCCCCCCCCCCTTTTTGTTTTGTTTTGATTTTAGGGAAGGGGAGAAAGGAAACCCATACAATACGATGGAAAGATAAAAATATTTAGGTAAATGCTGGAGAAGAGTGAGGGTGGGGGTGGGTTATCGCATTCAACGCCACCAGTAAGGGTGTAGATCAAACGCAAAAAGCAAGTCAGGCTGAAGCCTAAAGCCACCACTGTGCTGTCTTAACCAGGATCAGACCACGCTGAGGGCCAGAAAGGGTAAAAGAAGGAGGCCTGGGAGTGAAGTGTGGGCGTGTAGGCAAGAGAGAGACAGATACACAAGTCCAAGAACAAACTATTTTCAAAAACTCGTGTCTCTCCCACTCGTTGCGCCCTTCTAAATATTCCACGGTCCCCGGAGGAGAGACTGGACTCGTGGGATCCGCGCAGGGCTTTTAGAGTTTGAAAGAAACCCAAGGCAGGCTGCAAAGAACACCAGCCGGGGAAATCTAACCCCAGGGCCGGTTTGGGGAGACCACAGGAGCCAGGTCAGGACTCGGGGATGGAAGAGGGGTCGGCCGGACACCCGGGGAGGGAGCGAAAGCAGGAGGCCCACGCTGGAAACAGCGTTTCCACGTTAATACAAACGCTACTCAATGCCCGCCGGCGCGGCCTGGAGCAAACAGCCCGCGCGGCCCGAGCCGGGGGCTGAGAGCCCGGAGGCGGGAGGGCGGCAGCACCAGGGGACCCGAGCCAGAGAGCGCACCCCAGCCTAACTTTAATGCTGGCACAGAGAGCGGGACCCGACAGCCTTCAAACCGGTCTGAGTCCCTAGAAGAGCAGAAACAGATTGGGCGGAGGAGTCGCGGGGGGTGGGGGGGGGTGAACAAGGGGACCGGCTGAGGGTGTGAGTGGTAGGTGGGGGGAGCAGAAGACATTTCTTCCCTCACAACTCCCAATGCCGGAAAAGAAAAATAAAATCTCTTTCTAAACGCCCTCCCCCTTCAGCCACCACCACCACCACCACCACCACCACGGCAAGTGGGCCCAAAGAAACAGCTCGCTGCCTTTAATTTGGGGACCTATGTTAATGAAGTTGGTAATTAATTCGTCGCTTTGTTGTCGGTTCTTATACTGTATGTGTAATCAAATGTGGCCGTCCTTGGGATTTACAGCAATTAACGAATTACGGGAGTGCGCACGAGGCAGCAAGCGCACGGCAGCCCGGCTGGACTCCGGCTCCGGCTCCGGCTGCGGCTCGGCCTGGGGCTGGGCATTCGGCGGCCGCGGCCAGCCTCGCAGGTGTCTCTAGAGCTTTGGGCCCCGGCGTACCAGCGAGCCCCCGAGCGGCCCGGGGTCTGCCCAGCAGCTCCAGTCCGAAGAGACCCGCTGGCTGTCGCGTTCCCAGGAGTCGCGACATTGTGGGGTCCCGGGCTGAGGGGGGAGGGTGAGTACGGACCTTTTTTTTCTCACCCCGCCCCCACTGTACTAAAACACCTGGCGACTGCTCCCCCACCCCGGGCCTTTAATGGGGGGGGGGGGGGAGAGAAGAGCCACAAATGCCCCAGGCGGTCTGGCCCATTGGTTGGGAGCACTTGGCCAGAGTCGGGATACTTTCGGTGAAGGAAGGGCAAATCCACTCAGCTCCCCTGAGCCAGAGCCTCCTTCCTACCCCGAGAAAAGACAGGGATGCTCCCAGTTTGATCGCAATGATGTTTAAAGCATCAAAGAACGAAAAAGAAAAATGGACGTTGTGCGTCTGGCAGAGGGGAAGGGCCGAAGGGAGGCCTTGGGGACAGTGGAGGTGGGGTGTGTGTGTGTGTGTGTGTGTGTGTGTGTGTGTGTGTGTGTGTGTAGAAATATCAGAATATGCGCTTGTGTTCTCCACGAAGTACGGGGAGCGTTTTAGGCCCAGAGATCTATGTGCTGTGGGGGGTCCATTGGTGTGGGAAACCCGTCGAATCCTACGGAGAGGTTTGCGGTGTCCTCTCAGTTGGCGGGGGCAGCTAAATCTCCCTGAAAATTCCCGGGTTCTGTCGGACAAGGGCACATTTCTGAGCGGTGGGGCGTGGGAGGGCTTTTCCCTTGACTGCGGCTGGGAGCAGACAGCTCTCGCTTCTCCTTTGCCCTTTAGTCTAATAACTTCGCAGAAATGCAGGACCAATAAACCACGAGTTGGAAATGGACAGTGTTAAATAAACAAGGGTCTCTTTAAAATTCCCATCCACTTCAGATGTCTAAAGTAAGATTGTGATGATTTTGTCACGGTTTGGTAAATTTACCCCTTTAAGAGGCTTTCATAAATCCCAGAACACACCTTCAGCCAGATTTGAATATAGATTTAGGTTTTAAAACCCAGAAGCTGGAAACGCCGCTTTATCAAAGAGAATTTCCCTTTAGCTTAGCAATGTGCTGAAGCTCTTAAAAGATTGGATCTGAGAGAGAGAGAGAGAGAGAGAGAGAGAGACAGAGAGAGAGAGAGACAGAGAGAGACAGAGAGGAGAAAGAGAACTAGAGACACAGGCAGACGGGGGGGAAAAAAGACTTTCTTTTTCTTTCTAGAGGAATTCTGCCCAGACTCTGCAGCAGTTGGTAGCAAGAAAGCTCTCTCCTGGGTGTCTCCTGGAAAAGTTGCAAAATTGCTCTTCACCTGTAAGAACATGCTCTTTATCTTCCAGTCTCTTCTTGTCAATTTGGAAATTGCAGACAGCCCGGCTCAGGTACAGTCCCCACAAACCATACTGTAGGTCAGGACAAAAGCCACTGTCTTTGGTGGCAGGGGGGGTTGGGCTGTTGTACTGAAAACCGCAGAGGCTTGGTGGGAGAAAAAGACTCCTTGGATGAAAAGTCTAACTCTTGATTTCCAGTAAGTCCTTGAACTTCCAATATACTTACTATGTGGTCATTGTATTTTCTCTGTTCATGTTTAACTTTTTTTCCCCCTACGTCTTCTGTCTTTACATTTTTTTTTTCTATGAATCTGACTTGTGGTAGGTAGCATGCTTTGTGTTTGTAAGTAATTTTCATTAACAAGTGGATGGTTTTTAATTGCCATGAGTACAACTGTCTTGCTATCAATAGGAGATATAAGTATTCAGAAGTGAAATTAAGAAAACCAGTACATAGGAAATCAAATTGTTAGAGCTTGCATACAGTTTCCAAAATATGGCTGATATTCATATTTTGAAATATAGATTAATGTCTCACGCTAGCTGGATTTACTTTCTCCACCCCACTTGCCAGGCCAGTTTAAAATATTCCAAACTTTCCTCCAAGTTTATTAACTATGGTGCTGGGGGGGGGGGAGGAGTAGAGGAGTGGGAAGAGAAAGGAGAAAGATTTCAGGATTCTTCCAGGCTAATTAAAAAAGAAGAAGAACAAAACCCATATTCCGTGAGAACACCGCCTCTCAGGGGGAAAGGAGCCAGTTAGACTCCCTGAACACTTACTTCAGAAATATGAAGATTAATTTCCAATCTTTTCAGCGATTCAGTGGACAGTAGGGGACCACATCTTGCCTTAGAACTGCCACGATATTTAGAAAGAAGTCATTTTTCATTAGGTTTTTAGATATGTCTTTATTAAAAACTTTGACAAGATTAACTTTAATTAATTTTTTAACGAGGGTTACAGATTGGCAATGCAGGCAGAATTTGGAGGGAAATAGCAGATCACTTGTGAATTAAGCTTGAGTTGCTTATTCCCTGCATTTACGATTGCCTCAGAAAAGAGGGTAAGGGAGAAAGAAACAACTTCAAAGATAGGATTGTGCTGTCTTGATAAAAGAGTAGGAGGCAAATTCCAAATGCAGAAAAGAGGAAAAGAGGACCATGTTGTTCCGGAATGAAACGGATTAAGATTGTGTGACAAGTGCGAGATGTGGGGCTGGGAGACATTTATGAGCTGAGTGTGAGCTGGGAGCTGTGCGTCTGTCCCTGAGCATGTGGGGACCCAGGGTGTGTGCAGAGCAAGGTTAGGGTGGGGGATAGGAAGGGTTGGTGTGTGAGAGACGGAGAGCAATATGAGGGTGTGAGTGTGGGTGTGGGTGTGCGTTAGGAGGGTGTGGACGGGAATGTGGATGGATTGATGAGGGGTGGTAGCTGTCAGTTTATATAATTTTCATCTTCTGGTCCCGAACTTTCCTTGAAATCAATCCTACTGCAGGCAGTAGCCTGAGCTTACAGAGCTGATATAAAACAACCATTACAGTCCAATATCTTGCCTGTTTGCAAACTTCATTTAAAACTGGGGGAAAAAAGACCCAGGAATGGTTTTGTAAGAAAGGGAAAAAAGAAGAAAAGAAAACCGCAGTGAAGCTTTAAACTAGTTTGGATAAATCTCTAATCTTTTATTTGTAACCTTTTACAAGCTTTATTTCCCGTATATGAAAAGCTTCTTTTATATGGGCACGACAGACTTTTCCTTTGGATTTTTAATTAGAGCCCATCAATTGTAGCCATATTTAAGAATCAATATAAAGTAATCCTTCGAGATGGGATAAGGTTTTAATCGAAAATCTAATTTCCCACTCTTTGCAGATCATTTTGAGGGGCTGGTTGATTAAAAAAGAGTTCAATTTTTAAAAGACATAACACCTAAAACCTGGAAAGATCATGTCCGCAGAAAAAGCAACTGATGGTTTCTTACAAAGAAAAAAAGTCTGGCTGTTGTTGGGAACTTTTTTTTTTTTCTATTTAGAAGAATTTGACTTATTTTTCGCTCAAACACTACTCTCTACTGTGGCTCCTATGAGGGTATTCACATTGAATGGGGAGAGAAAAAAAAAGAGGAATTGTTTGTCTAAAACAGTATTTCGTATGCAAAAGACAGTAACTTAAATTTTTTATTAACAAAGAAAACATAGATTTTGATAGCTCTTTTTCACTACAACCTCAAAAAATCCCAAGTTTAGAAAATGAATAACACATTTTTCATTTTTGTTCAATGGATGCAAACTTTCCACTTTCACATCTAGGAATGAATATTTTCAACAGATTTTTAAACTTCTACATTAGAATTTTGCAATTTTAATTTTCTTACAATTGAAAAGTTGCCTATCACAAAAGCATAGAATTGTAAACAGTTGTACCAGATTCACTAGCTTTGAATTTGTCTTTTTTTTTTTTAAGGAAGAAAAATGATAGCAAGGAAGGAAGTAAATAAACAAAAACTAATTGTAGGTGCACAGCCCAGACATTTTTTTGCTTCTTAATGATCAAGCTGAGGCATTTGTTCAAAAACTGCTCATTATCTAAATGGGCACAGTGCATTTTCTGCAAACACACCACTATTCTGTAAGATCTGCAAATCATCTCTAAACTAGAGGAGATACCCCCCCTAAAGTTTATAGGCGCATTTTCAGACATTCACTGACTTGTTTTTATTGTTATATCTGTTAAGTGCATTTCAAAAAAAGAACGCATGGTACTTGCTTTTTAAAATCTGAATGGAGCGGTTTGAACATAGTTGCTGCTCATGCTTTTCTTTTATCTGCAGAAATTTCAATTTATTTAAAAGCTTGGCGTTTAATGCACTACATGACCGCATAAATTTTTAGAGAAACTCTCTTGCATTTCTCTGTAATCGCGTCTAATGAAAACCTGGGATTTTCCATTATTAAAAAAATGTGAAAAAATAATGCATCTTCATTAGGAAAATTGACTGCTGTGCTCACGACAGTTCTTAATTGAAAAGGCAACCTATTTTAATGGTGTGGTTGAGAAGAAGATTACATACTTTATCCAAACACAAAGACAATTAATAATGAGAAGCAGGCTGCTGCCATTAACTCTAATGCAGTTGCATCAATGTCAGTGAGAAGTGCTCATACCTGAGATACATGGTGCAAACTCCCCCGGCTCCCTCCTTCCCCAATTCACCCACTCCTTAATTTGGGTTTCTTAAGCAAGCGCCTGGACCGGCTGTGATCCGGCGGGCTAGTGTCATGCAAATGCGGCGCGGGGCCAGGCGCCCCTTCTTCCCGCGGGTCGCGCGGTCCGGGACAGCGCCGCCCGGCCGGAGGCTCCCCGGCTGCGGGAGGCTCCCCGGCTGCGGGAGGCTCCGCGCACACCTCGCGCCCTCCCGCCTGTGCGCGGAGCCTGGCCAGGGCAGCCGCGGCCCCCGCGCGCCGGAGGGTTTGGAGACCCAGGGCTACCTGGTACATGTTAAGAAGTTTACCAAAAGGGACCGGGCGGCCTCGGAGTCTGGGTTCTGCTTTGATTCGCTTACGGAAAGGTCGTAGGGGGGAAAAATCTTTTAAAATTGAGAGTGTGGTGGAGACGTCTGGGCGCAAGTGGTCATCCGGCGGATCCATCAAGTTTCCAAAGCGCCCCCTCTCCAACTCGGGCCTGGAGAGCAGAGCGTGCGTGTGTGCGTGTGCGCGCGCTCCTGTGTCTCCGTGTGTGTGTGTGTGTGCGCGTGTGTGCTTGCGCGTGCGTGTGCGTTGAAGGGGAGATCCCGACCTTTCCTGGGTTCGAGCACGCCAGGCTGCTTCAGGCTGGGAGATAGGGAGGAGGCGGCAGCCACCTCTCTGCTTTTTCTTTCCTCTGCGAGGCGCGGCCAATTCAGGCCTCCAGCCGGCTGCCTCGAACCCGGGCCGGCGAGCTGCAGGAGACAGCGCGGGAAGCGGGGTGGGGAGACCCAGGGCTCCCAGGCCTTGGCGCTGGGGGTAGCGGCGGCGCCTTGTGCCAGGCGCGGCGCGGCGCGGCCCGGCGCTCCTGGGCTCGAGGACTCCAGGGTGCGATCTGCCCTTGGTCGGCCCTGCAGCCGCCAGGCCCCAGGGAGGCGTGCAGGTTGAGGATGGGGCAGATCTCAATTTGGGTCTCTACGAGGGGCTTTGGCGCCCGAGGAGGGCTAGGCGCCTGCTGCGTGGCGTACTGCAGCCCTCCGAACCAGCTTTGCCCCTGGCCCTTCCCCAGCTCAGTTTCCCCAAAGAGGCTCAGAGCAGCGGGGGGGAGGGAGTGCCCTTCAATCGGTATTACTCCCTTCTCCCAGTGTGAACCAGGGCCAGGCTGCAGGCTAACAGGAGCTTTCACGCGAGGTGGTCACCTGCCTTCACCAAAGGGCTGGTGGGGGGGAGGGGGCGTGCTCCTTCGGGAAATTCTGGAGGCTTCTCGCATTGGCCAGCCATGCGCAGCGACCGGGAGAGAGAGTGTGCTGGGTGAGAACTACACACACGCATCCTGCAGAGGAAGAGTAAGGGACCCCATTCTCTAAGGCCCGACAGGCTACATCTCTTCCCCTTGAGGGATAGCTTCACAGGGAAGTTCCTTCCACAAAAGCCACACTTCCCTCTGCAGCCCTCAGAGTCCCTGGGCCCACCTTGTCCTACCCCACTTTCCCTCTGGTTTCCACCTTTTCATCTACAGACGTCCTGCAGATTTGCCATTTTTGGTTTCTGCCCACTGGTCAGGGATCCTCTCAAACCTGAAGACAAGAGGACCTGGAGTTTCCCTGAAGCCCAGGCTCCTCCGCTCCCTCCCTCAGGATAGGTGATCTCTGGGACATTGAAACCTCCCTTTGGTGAAAGCCAGCCATGGGCTACTTGGCATGGTCTGCCCTACATCTCTATGATGTATCTAGAGCTTTTCCTGTTCCTTTTGACTACCTTTTTCACATTGCAAAGGTTGAAGTACTCCAGTTATTATTTATCAGCAAGTCTCAGCTTCTGCTGGTGCTGAGGCTAAATGTGTCAGCTGAGTATCAAGGGGGAGACCAGGTC